TTTTAAAATTTTTCATGTTCATTTTAAAATCGAAAAGCAACTTTCATCACTATAGCAAATCCTTTAAGTAGGTTAAAGAAGATTTACTGAGAGGTTCAAGAAGTTATGGATAAGTTATTTATAACTAGGATTCCATTCAGTACTGTAAATGTCTAGAATTACAGTCTTTTTAGAAGTTTTGGTCTTCTCTCTGAAATATTTTCCACTAATTGATTTAGAACTCTTACACAATTAGGCCAAAGGTAAGCCTTGGTCGTGTAGCTTTCTAACCTATCACACATTCCTCATTAGTGGGTTTGCAAGATTTAATCAGTGTTTTCTTTTTCTTTTATAATGTTTTCTGGTTTTTCCCTTGTTTTCATTATAAAGTGAACTCTTGATTTTCTTTAACATACTGACTAAGGACCCATGCTAATTTGTAAAAAGGATTAAGAGTCAGGCATTTAATTCAAGTGAATGAATGCTAAATCTGAATCCAGCACAAATCAGAAAAACCAATTGTTCATATTCCCTTTGTTTCCCCACAAACAACGTCAGCTGTAGCCTGGAAAAAGTATGGATCTTATAATAATTACCACATTTGCATAATCAGCTCCCTTACATAACTGAGGAATACATACTAGAAAGTTCACTTTGGTATCACAGATTTTCCTTCCTGTGAGAGCAGGTTTGACATGAGAGCAGGAGTGGGCTACCTGTGGAAAAGGGAGCCAGTGAGGAAGAGAAGAGGTATGGGGGAGGGCCGGGGTGAATATGAGCAAAGTGCAATGATACAGGTTTATGAAAATGTCATAATAAGACACATTATTTTGAATGTTAACTAAAAAACGTCAAACAAAATAATGGACTTGACTAAATGTGTTTATGCAAAATCTCTAGCTAGGCAAAACAGCATTTATCTTTCTGATTAAGACTATTGAGAATGACGTTAATAAAATAGTGTTCTTTTACAAAGTCAAAAAATATTTCTTGACATTCTTATCTTTCAGAAAGTCTAACCCTAACCCCCGCCCTCCTCCTTTCTCATGAATTCCTACCCCCACATAAAGCACTAAACCAACTGATGTAATGGGAAAGGTGAATACAAGTCAGGCACATGATATGCATGTGTGAAAATATGTAAAACACTAAGAAATACTTTAAAAACTATCAGAACAAGAAGCAGCTGATGCCATGGGGGAGCGTGGCATGCGCTGCCCCTTCTGTACCTTGATAGAGCTATGTAAAGAGGAGCTAGGGAAATGACAAAACCTAGAATAAATGTTTCCACTAAACAAGTGAGTCATCAATGTGACTTTTCCTAACTGCGACCAATCTATAGAATTTCTGTAACTCTTAAAACTGAGATATTAAAATATGTTTCCAAATCCTACGCAGGCTGGTTTTGTGGTTGGCCTCTGGTAATCTAACCACCTCTTGTCAGTGAGAGCCATGCTCACTTCACCGGGCTTGGCTAAACAGATAGAAGCAACAGGCCAGCTGCCATTCCTAGGGTGTTCTGTAGCTGAGGGAGCGCTGAGGGAACCAGCCTCTTTGCAAAGTTCTTGACAGTCGGAAACCACCAGGAATGATACTAGAAAGCCAAGGCAGGATTCAGAGATGGAAACCAACTTGGGCACCTGAGACCACAAAAGTGGTATTAGATGGTACAGACGTGGAAAGCGTTCATTGGGATACTCTGGGGTCCTGTCTGGGGAATGCAGCCTATCTGTAACAACTGTAGCAAGCCAGACGAGTGCTTTTCCCCACCTGCTTTTCTTTGGCCATGTTTTTTTCTACGGGAATGAAATGAAACATAAAAATTTCTTCAGCAAATTTGATGACAATTACCTATCTTTAAAACCTGCAGAAAAAGATGCCATTTTATAATATATCTATTTTCAGAGAGCTTTTTCTTCTGTACTGGGTGTTAAACCTTTGCACATGTAAGATAAGTACTCTGTCACAGAAATACATTTCCAGCCCTCTTTTTATGTGTTATTTCAAGACAGTCTAAATTTCTTGGTCTGTCTTTAGGCTTGCTTTGTGGTCCAGGCATGCCTCGAACTTTGGATCCTCCTGCCCCAGTCTTCTGAATAGCTGGAATTGCAGACTGTACCACCAGGACTGGCAGGAATCATTTTTTTCAGTTTTATCTTAGCTCCAGACCAACCAACTAAACAAAAAACCACAGTGGGGCTGACTGCTTAACTGCCTTCAAGGATTGTATTAAGAATCCTCTCAAAGGACTGGAGAGATGGCTCAATGGTTAAGAGCACTGACTGTTCTTGAAGAGGACCCAGGTCGATTCCTGGCCCTCACATGGCAGCTAACAACCTTCTGTAACTCCAGTTCCATGGATCTTACGCCCTCTTCTGACCCCTTCAGGAATTTCACAACATGGGTACACTTAAATACATGCAGGCACTACACTCTTACAGATTAAAAAAAAATAAAGATAATAAAATATTAATAAATTTAAAAAGAATCCTTTGAGATCATTCAGGCTAAAAAGGTGGCTTCCTTTTTCTCCAGAGTGAAAACAGCTGTGATATGTTATCAGTCAGCCCTCCCAGGTCAGATAGAGTCACTGAATAACACATCTGAACTAACAGTGTCTCATGGTGCCTGTGATGAGGAGAGTGTGAAGGGAAAGGCCAGATGGGCTGGATGCAGAGAGAGCATCAGAGGACTGAGTTCTTATCTGGAACTGTTGCGTCCAAGTTGGCTGCAGGGTTCTCTTTGGAAGAAAAGCTTAGAAAGACTTGTTGAGAATGCTTTTGCTTTGGGGGTCAATTCCTCAGTCCTCAACCTCAGCAAGTTTCTCTACTGGTGGTCTCCGAAGCAGGTGCACATGAAGTCTAAAGGTGAATAATATCATAACCTCTGTATCCATTGATCTCTTCCTTTTGAGTGTCAGTACTCTGTTAGGATCTTATGACATACTTAGAATGCAGTACAAGGAGGTAAATGCATGAATAATGTTTGGGCATGGGGGAGAGGCAGCACTGCGACGTAAGGATGGGAGGTCAAACCTGTTAG